GACAACCAGCACATGATCTGTGTACACGATCTGTCTCAGTTTTTTTTTTTTTCATTCTGATAATCTTTTACTGCAGGTTCGTTTGATAAAGCTCAATCACCGCCAATCACGTATTAAATAAAAGAGAAAAAAGTCTCGCCTACCAGACAACATCTTCTCTGCTTAAAACCTACCAGAACGACATACCAGGCATTCTCTTCCCGTCCACAATAAAAATTTCGGATCAAAAGAGCTACTACAAAATGAGTTGGCATTATTTGCCATAAGTCCTCACAAACAAAAAGCTGACCTGACTCCACAGAATAGAACTACCATTAACTCGTTCTTGTCCTGAAATTGGCAGAGTTGGTTATTCCGACAGAAATTGATTTTTAATAAGCTATATATGTTAAACTCAATAATCGTATACCGTTGCTCATTTAAATCTACCTCAGTGATAAATGCTATTTCAGGTACCTTTTAAAAAATCGAGTTACATTAAAGATAAATAGATACCTTTAAAATATCCAGATACCTTAAAGATAAAAATATACCTTTAAAATAGTCAGGTAACTTCAAGATAAAAAGTACCTTAAAGATAAAATTTAAATTAACCAGGTACCTTAAAGATAAAAGCTACCTTAAAGATAAAAATATACCTTTAAAATATCCAGACCCCTTAAAGATAAAAGGGAAACTTTAAAATAGCCAGGTACCTTTAAAATAGCCAGGTGCCTAAAGATAAAAAGTACCTTAAAGATAAAAAGATACCTTTAAAATAACCAGGTACTTTAAAAATAAAAACTTCTTAAAGATAAAAAAGTACATTTAAAATAACCAGCTAGCTTAAAGATAAAATGGACCTTAAAGATAAAAAGGTACCATTAAAATACCAGGTACCTTAAAGATAAAAGCTAGCTTAAAGATAAAAAGGTACCTTAAAAATAACCAGGTACCTTAAAAATAAAAGCTACCTTAAAAATAAAAAGGTACCCTTAAAATAACCAGGTACCTTAAAAATAAAAAGGTACCTTTAAAATAACCAGGCACTTTAAAGATAAAAAGTACCTTAAAGATAAAAAGTACATTTAAAATAACCAAGTACCTTAAAAATAAAAAGTACCTTAAAGATAAAACGGTACCCTTAACATAACCAGGGACCTTAAAGATAAAAGATATCTTAAATATAAAAAGGAACCTTTAAAATAACCAGGTACAATAAAGAGAAAAGGTACCTTAAAAATTTAAAATTCTGTTTTATTTTTGCTTTTGTTTAACTAATGACTATCGACGCTGAAAATATGGGAATTACCGTTGCTTTCGCTTCCGTGGAAATGAGCTTTGGGGAGTTACCGATCAATGAGTTTAACAAAGGTCAGAATGGACACTTCAGGCTAAGTTGACAATCAATCTAGGTGGACAACTCTGAACTGAAAACCGGTTGGACATGGGACTATTAAACCCACTTCGTATAAGCATCTTTATTCTGTTGTTCATCTAATAAGAGTCCCTAGAGCCACTCAAGGTAGAAGGTTACTGAATGAGTTTACTGTAAGAGAGCAAAAGGAGGAAATAGGAAATGCTTATCATGAGGACATGTAAGATAGAGGTTCAGCGTTAACAGTTTTATATACTTTTTAATCAGTTTGCACCAAGCAAGACGATAATGCCCCTAAGACGCAAAGGAGGGAAAGAAGATGGGAAGACTTTAGAATAAACCGAAAACCCAATCCTAAAAACGAAACAAAGCGATAAATCCCTACTCCTGCTGAAAAGTCCGTGGAGAAGTGAAATGTGAACTGAACGATACGAGAACCGATCTACATATATTGAGGAAATATGAATAAATGAATAGCAGATACAATTACAGCGTTTAGGTGGAGACGTTAGAAGTATAGAATAGAAGTAATAAGAAATGGTAACCCAATCCTAAAGAGGAAACAATATATAAACTTCTACTCCAATTCCAGACATCGGAGGGAAGGGATAAGCGTACGATATTCGACCCTATCTATTCCTATTAAATTAAAAATGTTAAGATAGTATTGATCAGAAGAAAAAAAAACACCTTCTATCGGGAGACTATTCACGAAGGAACAATTCTGTTTAATTTTCTCAAGTCTGACATTTTATACTTTCACTTTCTCAACTTTCTTTTCCTCTATTTTCACTTTTTCAACTATCACTTTCTTTACTTTCACCTTCTCTCTTTTCCCGATCTCTACTTTCTCTTTCTCCACTTTAATTTTCAGTTGCATTTTAGCTAATTCCGCTTGCTCTACTTCCAATTTCTCTAGTTTCATTTTTTCTACTTTGATTTTCCCAACTTTCATTTTCTATACTCTATCACACTTTCTAGTTTTACTTTCACCTTCTCTAGTGTCATTATCTCTACTTTCATTTTTACTACTTTCATTTTCTTTGCTTTCACTTTCTCAACTTTAATTTTCGCTAGTTTCATTTTAGCTACTTTTATTTTCTCTATTTCCACATTCTCTAGTTTCATTTTCATTTCTATACTTTATCATACTCTCTAGTCTCACTTTCGGATCTTTCATTTCCTCTAGTTTCATTTTCTTTATTTTCATTTTCACTAGATCTATTTTCTTTACTTTCACTTTCCCAACTTCCATTTTCTTTACTTTATTGCACTCTCTAATTTCACGTCCTGAACTTTCATTTTCTCCGGATTCATTTTCACTACTTTAGATTTCTCTACTTTCACTTTCTCCACTTTCATGTCCCCTACTTTAGATTTCTCAACTTTCACTTTCTCTACTTACATTTTCCTTACTTTAGATTTCTCTACTTTCACTTTCTCTACTTACATTTTCCCTACTTTAGATTTCTCAACTTTCACTTTCTCTACTATCACTTTCTCTACTTTCACTTTTCTCTTACATTTTCCCTACTTTTAGATTTCTCAACTTTCACTTTCTCTACTTACATTTCCCTACTTTAGATTTCTCAACTTTCACTTTCTCTACTATCACTTTCTCTACTTTCACTTTCTCTACTTACATTTTCCCTACTTTAGATTTCTCAACTTTCACTTTCTCTACTTTCATTTTCCTTACTTTAGATTTCTCTACTTTCACTTTCTCTACTTTCATTTTCTCTACTTTAGATTGCTCTACTTTCACTTTCTCAACTTTCATTTTCTCTACTTTAGATTTCTATTCTTTCACTTTCTCTACTTTCATTTTCTTTACTTTCATTTTATCTACTTTCACTTTCTCGTGTGTGTGTGTTTTTTTGTATGCACGATTTACCGCTAAGTATGCCGAAAAGTTGACCAGTCCGTTGTACCGTTCTACCGGATACAGCATCTACCCAGTGATTTGAGCTACCTCAAAATTCGCCGTAACCGAACGAAAGCTGACCAAGCATATCAAAGTTCGTATTCATTCAGACATGCAGCAAGAGTTTCACTGGAAATTTAGATTCACAAGCGCCCCTCCCAGCTGCATGTATACACACTTTTAAAATGGAGTGACTAGATTTGAATTCAGAGTTTCTTTCTCTTAATCTGTTGCTATCCAAGGGTAAAGGAATCAGTCTCTACGGATAGTTTACCCGTAGCTGGGGGAGAAGAGATGAAATACATAGGAAGTACCTTATACCTCCTGTTACATACTCTATCTGCAAGAGCCAGCCCAGACCAAAAATTGTTTCTGATTGGAAATGACAGATCGTCACTTTCCAACATCGACTGTGTTTTTGCTTTCTTGATGATGAATTGCTTTCAACTCCTTACCCACAGACTTCCTTGCTATTTTTCTGACGATCTATACTCCTTGCTTCCACCAGTGGAAACCTTAACAAAATCCATTGCCTTCATATTCCATTTGCAGGTAGGAAGTGTTCCCTTCATAAAAATTCTTCTAAAGGATAGTTGCATTGTGGGACAGACTTACGACAAGATACTTCCGCAATCACTACAATCTTGGACACTTAATATCTACGGTCAGCCGTTATCTATCCTACATATCCTCATACTATACACCTCTGGCTTTCTGCTTGTGTGCCCTTACAACATTCTCATGTAGTAACCATATACATTGAGTGCTTCTTGATTTTTGTGTTTGGCAATTCGATTGATGTTAAAACAATACAGCTGCAGACAAAATCAAACGAATAAAATAATTTTTAAAAATAAAATAAATTCATCAATATATATATATATATATATATATATATATATATATATATATATATATAATGTTACAAAATAATTGGCGCAACACAAAATAAGATGAAAAATTCTTAGAAATTAAAGTTGAAGAAAAAGATTGCATGTAATAAGGAAAACAGGGTTTTATTTAACATATAATAAAATATTTTTTATGAACAGCAGGGCTGGGGTTTAAACAATATACGTTGGGAAATGCTAACAAGCTAATAATTGAGAGCCCTAAAAGTAGTTGGCTTAACGTGTAGCTATATGAAGAACTGGGAGAGGAAATCCTTATACAATTAAGATAAAGGCGACGAATGGGAATTCGTCGCTAGTCAAAGAATTATATTATTTTCTTCTTAGAAAAATAGTTATATATTCACATGTTTATAAAATAAAGGAGTTTGTTCAATAACATCAAGGAATAAAAGGTGAAGTATTTACTGACTGTCTTTTCTTTTGAGGACTGTTGGAACTTAGATTCTTTCGGTCGAAGCTTTGTTCATGAATCAAAAGGGGACTTGAGTCGACCTCAGTCATCGTGACTGTGGGTTCAGGAGGCAACTGGCTAGTTCGTACGAACTCTTGTTTATAGATGTTTTTTGTATCCTCTAGAACCCATTAGAAGTTTCAAGAGACTTCTAGAAAGTTCCATTCTATTATTATGAAATCTAAAGGGTTTGGTAAATGGGAACATTTCGTAAGGTAAAAAGGGCATCTAGTAGCTACAGATTTAAGTCATCATTTTAAGCTAGGTTTTGCTTTTTTTATAGTATAAGTGTAAAGAAGTAGGACAAAATGGGGCCTCGTAACAATATATATATATATATATACTTTTACTTACAGTCTGTATTCTTTTCTCCTGGTGTAGTGCAATGATGACAAACTGGTGAAAGATAAAAAGAAACATTTTGTTTATTAGAGAGTATATCAGTAAAATAATTGTGATAATAAATAAATGTTCGATTTCACAATAATCTTTAGCATTTAAATTTGCTTCCAATATAAGAGTATCAAATTCGAGATTTTATTCTAGTTTGTTTGAATCATTTCAAGGTGATAAAGCCACTAAGATGCAAGGAGTTACTGAGCTTGAAAGAATCTGAGAATGACATTATCAAGGAGAGAAGCAAATAAAGACGAGAAATTAAGTAAATAGAAGATGAAGATTGACATTGCATTGGAATTTTTGAAGATCAAATTAGACTGGAAAGCAAGAAGCAGGAAGATAGTTTCACAGGCGAGATGTGCGAGCGAATAAACTGTTATATCTTGCAATTTGGACTGTAAAATGATGATACACCACTGCCACTCTAGTACTGGGTGTAAATTTATAAATTCCAGATATTAAAGGAGAAATTTTAGCAGAACAATTACATGAAAGTATCTGTCTATATTTCTGAGATGGGGTATTATGTACACTATTTACATTATTCGGACTATTGTCACTGGATCTAACCAACGCCTTTATCCACTGTGCCATGTGTCCTTGAGGACAAGACCCAAAGTGTGTGAGTTCCATACCCGGTTAAAGCAGTGGAGAACTTGGAGAGGGGAATTAACAGGAGATAACTGATAACTGATATCCATTAATAACATGGCACGTGGAACTAGAACAGTCTACTCCAGTGAGTGAAATAAAGGGTTCAGTTCGACATTCAACCACCTGAAGATGGCCGGCTGGAACGTTGTGATAAATATGGCGACAAAGATGAGGACAATAGTCCGAATAATTTAAATAGTGTAAAATAAATATAGTGTTTATTAAATAAAAGGAGTTTCTACTCAAATATATCCCCCAAAATATGGTTTAAGTCATAAAACATTGTAATAAATATGGCGACAAAGATGAGGTCAATAGCCCGAATAATGTAAATAATTACATGAAAATATTAGAAAATAGAAATTTTCAATTGTAATTGTTCTGATGAACCTTACACATCATGATGAGTATAAAACATGCAAACATTTCGAAATTTTATCTACAGACAGAAAAGTCTGCGGACAATTTGGAAATTACGTGAATCTATTTGAAAACATGACAGGAAAACCTAATTCTAGTCAACCATAGATTCAGAAACAAAGAAGAAATTTATTTGTATTTATTTTTTCTGTCCATTCTCTTCCGTTTTCATGAACATACACTGTGAACTTTCCGGCAGTTCCTGAAGCCAAGTCTTCCCCAAATGTATTCCTGTTTTCCTTTGAATCCTCTCGATACAGTCTAGAGAGGGCATGTAGTTTCGCCAGCGCACAGGCTACATATACCCTGGATAGGTCATTCTTTAATATTCTTGAGTTTTATTTCTCTGATTTCTTTTTCTCTCCTTTCACTTTCTCTACTTTCACTTTCTCAACTTTCATTTTCCCTTCTTTCATTTTCTCTACTTTCACCTTCTCAACTTTCAATTTTTTTATGTTTTCAAACTTTTCTCTACTTAAAATAAAAAAAATATTTCGTTTTCTCCACTTTTTTTTCAAACTTTCACTTTCTCCACTTTCAATTTCTCTACTTTCACTTTCACTACATTCACTTTCTCTATTTTCACTTTCACTATTTTCACTTTCTCTATTTTCACTTTCATTACATTCACTTTCTCTATTTTCACTTTCTCTACTTTCAGTTTTCTCAAATTTCTTCAAGGACTGAATTTTTAACAAACTGGGCACGACCTTTATCCCGTTTGATAAATGGATGCCTACGAATGTCAAATTGTATCCGAAATTTTGTTACAATTCAAATTAATTCCTCCTTATTTAAGACGAAGTAAACAAGATTTCTTGAGAAACGTAAGCCCGAAAGAAGAATTGATTGCCTAACAGATATGTATGCAGACTTTGCTTGCGGAAATATATGATTGTTGATCACATTTTGTGCATCTATTCTTGATGGAAACGTTTGAATCTGTAACGCTAAAGGCGACTGAATCACAAGTGTCCAAAGATAATTAGATAAAAATAAGATTTATACTGACAATTACACAAAATAATTCATAAGTAAGTGTTTACCTGGTACAACAACATATATTGAGTCAGGGTCAATGACGAATAAAAAATCGGTTGTAAATGCAGACACTAATAGACACTAATAGTCGAAAAACAGTGTCTGGAAAAAACAGAGTTAATTGTCGTCACTTCTCCATGGGATTTTCTAATATAGTGAAAGTTAGATGAAAAAAGGATTTGTGAAAACGGCCTGAAAATGAAAAATTTTGATAATTATAATAATAATAATAATACCACATTAATAATCAAAATAATAACAAATAATAATATTTTGGCAATCAAAACAAAACATCAACGATAATATTGTTTTAGTTGGAAAAAAAAATTGGTTGGAAAAGATTTTTAATAATTTTGAAGTATATATTTTCCTGGAAGTCCATATCAAAGGTTAAAAATATATTTAAAAAATTATTACATGGATGATAATATTTAAATACAGCCAACTGGATTTTCGAAGGGTTTTATCTATGTAATTTTGAAATTTTTTTTTTTTTTTTTTGGAAAAATTATATAGTTTGATGCTATAAAAATTTAGATATATAAATAGGTTTCATGGTGGGATTATAATATAATAAATAAAAAATAAATATATATATTAAATTTTTTATATATAAAATATAATAATAAAATATAATATTAATAATCAATCCTTTGGTTTTATACATCAACATCCTGGATAAATCTAATTGACATACAAATTATTTAAAACAAATAATATATATTTATCCATAGCAGCAATTCTTAAAGATATATATATGATAATATAGGTTTATTGAGGTGTGTGTGTGAAATTTAAAATTCTTCTTAATTGAAATCCATGGTATTCAAAAATAATAAATCTATATCTAATCATTGGGGGTCATTTTACCAACATATAAATATATATAGGTCCCAATATTTTGGTTTTAGGATATTTAACAAAGTTAATTATATCAAATATGATTAAAATGAAATCAATAATTATTTTGGTTAAAACTTTTATGAAAGTTTAAAAATAGGTTTTAATACATTTATAAAGAGAAATAAACCATAGGACAAACTATTTAAAAAATTATTACCAGCAATGGTTTGCAAAATTTAAAAAATATTGAATTTTTGAAAAAAAATTAACTCATCAAAGATTATAAATAAATTTTTTTTTATAAAAAAAAAAATTATTAACCAAAATTTGAATTTTTAAAAAAAAATTTTTTTTACAAAAAAAATAAAATTTACCATTCAAATAATTTTATTGGAAACAAACATGGACAAATATCAACACATTGAAAGAAGAGTTTAGATTTTTGAATTAATAAAATATAACCAAAAAAAATTTGAAAAAAAATATTATCAAAAAAAAAAAAACTTTAAAAATATTAAATTTTCCATTGAGTTTGATATACTATATTAAGTAAAAACAGTTTAAAAAAATGATATATATATCTATTATTTATAAATATATTTGTTTAAATTATTATTGGAATATATTTCAATTTTTGATATGGTAAAAAAAAAATCATTAACAAAAATATTATGATTTACGAAAATTCATTTATTTACATAAAATTTTTTTTTTCTTTTAGCAGGTGAATTGGGGAAATGGGGGAGAAAAAAAATGTATAATTTATTATTTAAAAGGAATAAAATAATATTTGTTAAAGCATTTTTTTTTTAAGAGGTTTTGCCCATGTAATTCTCCCAGGTCTGAAACGTGGTAATTTTATGGCACATCCAATTTAATAGATTGTTGATTTCAATATTTCAAATCCGATTGGAATTTTATTATCAAATGCTATTGGGTTAAATATTATATTTTTAAATATTTAAAAAAATTTTTTAAACCTTTTAAAAAAAAAAATCTTACAAAAGATTAATTAAGAAAATATATATTTTTGAAAATTTAAGAAAATGCTGGGATATCATGAGGTTGATATCCGAGCGTGTGAACAACGATGAGATCTTATTAGCATTTTTTTTCTTACTAAATCAAAAAGATGAAAAAAACAAGCTCCATGTATAATGTCCTAATCTCTCAAAGAAAAATATTTAAAGTTTAAATTATATTAATATTATTAAATATTGAATATAAAGCAAAAATTAAATTAAGGAAAGAATTTATTGATACTTATATATGAAAATTTATATGAATAAGAGGGATTAAGAGAGAGGCAAGGAAAATTAAATTTTTTGTAAAATCGTGAAATTCCTAATAAGAATTTTAAAAAAGAAATAAATCACATATAAATGATCATTTGAAAAATCTAAATTAATTTGAAATTGAACCTGGGGGATGACAGAAAGTGGTAATTTATAATTGATTTGTACCAAAGAGCTGCAAAGGTTAAAGGGAAGTGGAGAAATATTACGTCCTGAGAGGACATGGTACATAAAAAGAAAGAAAAAAGATATCAAACTCTCTGCCAATGGTGACAATGACTTGAAGGGTTTTCTCAATACTATAAAATGTTTCAGTGATGACATCGGTTTAGATAAATGAGCAAAAGTAACATTCAAGAAATGGAGAATTACAGAAACACATTCAACAGATCTAGATTTTGTCACAAATATTAGCAAACTGGAAGAAGAAGAAGAAGCCTATGGATACCTCGAAGTCAGCGAAGGTGATGGAATACAGCATAGCAAAATGAAGGAGAAAGTAAGAAAAGAATACGACAGGGGTGTACGTTTGGAGTTAAATACCGTGTTGAATAAAAACAGAATGTCAGCCATGAACACTTCGGCTGTCTCTGTAGTGAAATACGGTTTCAACATCTCTAATCGGACCATAGCAGCGAATGGATGTCAAAAATGAGAAATTTTATCACTAACCACCGTATGCATCATCCTAAGGCTGATGTTGATTGTCTGTATGTACCCAGATCTGAAGGATTAATTCAATTAGAAATGTCTTACAAAACGGTAACAATTGGTCTTGAAAAGGTAGCTGGGTTTTACAGAATTTGAATAATGATTTGTGTCAAAAGATTTAATGAAAGAAATAAGAAACTTTATTAATAATAAGGAAGCCAATCTAATTTCATATAGAATTTATATATATATATAAGAATATAAATAAATATCAGGTCATCCCATAAGTTCTGTGAAATTTTAATTTTTTTTAAAATGAACGAAATTTAAAGAGTATTTTATAATGTCTAATGGAGCTGAACATTATTTTTATGTTTAGATGCATTTAAACTGATCAAATTTTATTTCAGAGAACAATAAAATTAAATTTTGTTTGATTAAAACCCTGCTAACATGGAAGTACCCAAGAATCATTTGAGGCACATAATGCTTTATGAGTTCAAGAAAGGAAACTCAGCAGCCGAAGCGGCTAGAAACATTCACTCAGTTTATGGAGAGGAATGTGTGAATGAAAGAACTTGCAGAAGATGGTTTGCAAAATTCAGAGGTGGAGATTTCACCCTTGAAGATGAAGATCGAACCGGACGTCCAGTTGAGTTTGATGAAAAGCTTCTTGAAGCAGCCCTTGAAGAAAATCCTGCTTTATCAGTTGAGGAATTGGCAGTGGTTCTCAGTTCAAACCATACAACTGTTCATCGTCATCTTCAACAACTTGGAAAAGTTCCTAAACTTGGAAAATGGGTGCCTCATGAATTGTCTGAAAACAACCTCAAATCCCGAGTTGACATCTGCTCTTCTCTCCATTCTCGCCAACTTGTTTCACCTTTTTTTGATAGACTTGTGACTGGCGACGAAAAATGGATCTTTTATCGAAATGTTAAGCGTCGTAGACAGTGGCTTGGTAAAGGGGAAGGACCCCAGCCACAGCCGAGAAGGGAACTTCATGGGCAAAAGGTTCTTCTTTCAATCTGGTGGGATCACCAAGGAATAATCCACTTTGAATTCTTACCACCTAATGCAGCAATTAATGCTCAAATATATTGTCATCAATTAGAGCGTTTGAACCAAGCTATGAGAAAAAAAAGACATGCTCTAGTGAATCAAAAAGGGGTGATGTTTCATCAGAACAATGCGCAACTCGACACAGCAAGAATCACGTCACAAAAGATCGAAGAACTTGGTTGGGAGAAAATTTCTCATCCACCTTATTCTCCCGATCTTGCTCCTTCAGACTACAATTTGTTTCGTAGCTTACAGAATCATTTGGAAGAAACAGATTTTGTAACACAGGAAAAGGTTAAAAGTGACATTTGTGAGTTCTTCAAATCAAAGCCAAAAGAATTTTACAGTAATGGAATTAGTAAACTTGTTAATAGATGGAAGGAAGTCATAGATAATCAGGGAAAATACATTGTTGATTGAATCTGTAATTAAATGTAACATATGGTCACTTGTTTTCTTTATTCAAAATTCGGACAGAACTTATGGGATGACCTGATAGTAAACTTGTTAATAGATGGAAGGAAGTCATAAATAATCAGGGAAAATACATTGTTGATTGAATCTGTAATTAAATGTAACATATGGTCACTTGTTTTCTTTATTCAAAATTCGGACAGAACTTATGGGATGACCTGATAGATGGAAGGAAATCATAGATAATCAGGGAAAATACATTGTTGATTGAATCTGTAATTAAATGTAACATTTGGTTACTTGTTTTCTTTATTCAAAATTCGGACAGAATTTATGGGATAACCTGATAGATGGAAGGAAGTCATAGATAATCAGGGAAAATACATTGTTGATTGAATCTGTAATTAAATGTAACATTTGGTTACTTGTTTTTTTTATTCAAAATTCGGACAGAACTTATGGGATGACCTGATAGATGGAAGGAAGTCATAGATAATCAGGGAAAATACATTGTTGATTGAATCTGTAATTAAATGTAACATTTGGTCACTTGCTTTTCTTTATTCAAAATTTGGACAGAACTTAATGGGATGACCTGATAGATGGAAAAAAGTCATAGATAATCAGGGAAAATACATTGTTGATTGAATCTGTAATTAAATGTAACATTTAGTTACTTGTTTTCTTTATTCAAAATTCGGACAGAACTTATGGGATGACCTGATAGATGGAAGGAAGTCATAGATAATCAGGGAAAATACATTGTTGATTGAATCTGTAATTAAATGTAACATTTGGTTACTTGTTTTCTTTATTCAAAATTCGGACAGAACTTATGGGATGACCTGATAGATGGAAGGAAGTCATAGATAATCAGGGTAAATACATTGTTGATTGAATCTGTAATTAAATGTAACATTTGGTTACTTGTTTCCTTTATTCAAAATTCGGACAGAACTTATGGGATGACCTGATAGATGGAAGGAAGTCATAGATAATCAGGGAAAAATACATTGTTGATTGAATCTGTAATTAAATGTAACATTTGGTTACTTGTTTTCTTTTATTCAAAATTCGGACAGAACTTATGGGATGACCTGATAGATGGAAGGAAGTCATAGATAATCAGGAAAATACATTGTTGATTGAATCTGTAATTAAATGTAACATTTGGTCACTTGCTTTCTTTATTCAAAATTCGGACAGAACTTTTATGGGATGACCTGATAGATGGAAGGAAGTCATAGATAATCAGGGAAAATACATTGTTGATTGAATCTGTAATTAAATGTAACATTTGGTTACTTGTTTTCTTTTATTCAAAATTCGGACAGAACTTATGGGATGACCTGATAGATGGAAGGAAGTCATAGATAATCAGGGAAAATACATTGTTGATTGAATCTATAATTAAATGTAACATTTGGTCACTTGTTTTTCTTTATTCAAAATTCGGACAGAACTTATGGGATGACCTGATAGATGGAAGGAAGTCATAGATAATCAGGGAAAATACATTGTTGATTGAATCTGTAATTAAATGTAACATTTGGTCACTTGTTTTCTTTATTCAAAATTCGGACAGAACTTATGGGATGACCTGATAGATGGAAGGAAGTCATAGATAATCAGGGAAAATACATTGTTGATTGAATCTGTAATTAAATGTAACATTTGGTTACTTATTTTCTTTATTCAAAATTCGGACAGAACTTATGGGATGACCTGATGGAATGAAGTCATAGATAATCAGGGAAAATACATTGTTGATTAAATCTGTAATTAAATGTAACATTTGGGCACTTGTTTTCTTTATTCAAAATTCGGACAGAACTTATGGGATGACCTGATAGATGGAAGGTAAAATAGATAATCAGGGAAAATACATTGTTGATTGAATCTGTAATTAAATGTAACATTTGGTTACTTAAAAGAAATTTTATTCAAAATTCGGACAGAACTTATGGGATGACCTGATAGATGGAAAATGATTAGCAACGAAGTCATAAGATAATCAGGGAAAATACATTGTTGATTGAATCTGTAATTAAATGTAACATTTGGTTTTTTTTTTTTTTTATTCAAAATTCGGACAGAACTTATGGGATGACCTGATAGATGGAAGGAAGTCATAGATAATCAGGGAAAATACATTGTTGATTGAATCTATAATTAAATGTAACATTTGGTCACTTGCTTTTTTTATAAAAAATTCGGACAGAACTTATGGGACAAACCTGATAGATGGAAGGAAGTCATAGCATAATCAGGGAAAATACATTGTTGATTGAATCTATAATTAAATGTAACATTTGGTCACTTGTTTTCTTTATTCAAAATTTGGACAGAACTTATGGGATGACCTGATAGTAAGCTTGTAGACAAACTCGGCACCCATCAGTGGTTATGTCGTGTAGGGTTAAAAATTGTAACCGAAGGTTTTATTTTTGCTGCTCATGACCAAAGTTTGCTAATTCGCACACATACTGAAAAATTGTGTTAACCCTAAGTGCAGATTCTGGGGTAAATATAAAGAAACAATTGGCCATCTTGTATAAGTTTACACCATGTTAATGCCCACTGTATTTAAAACTCGGCATGATAGAGTAGGCACTGGGAAATCTGAAATTTTTACGAAAAGGAAACCATTAGAAACTGGTATGAACATCACCCAGATCAGATTACAGAGATAAGACGTAAGCATTTCATGAGACTTTAAAATACACACAGACTGAAGAATCATAGCTAATCGGCCAGACATCGTGATCAAAAATCGCACAAACGAAATGTTATTTCATTAAAATTTCATTTATTTCAATAAAATGTGCTTGATAAAAAAATCTACAACTCATACAGCAATCGCTATCATAATAATAAAAATTTTTTGCCCTTCCTTATTTTTTAAAAGAAGTGCCCTAAAATTTAATAAATATTTTGCTACATGCCGAAAAAAGAACTAAACAAAATGAACACAAAATGATCAGCTTTTAAAAAAAGGAATCGTAACTGGAAAAAATGAATGAAAAAGAATGTTAACAACAAAACTTTTTCACTCTTTAACCCAGTTCTGCGGAATCAGAATCAACGTTGAGTTTAAGCAAGCGAATGAGCCAATTGGAGTAAAGTGCCATGCAGATTTAAATTTTTTCTACTTGTGACGAATGCAGCTATCGATTTTTTTTTACATGCTAGCATGCTAATTAACATTCGTGTCAGTCAGCTGTATAAATCAGCTGATGGCCAATAGAATCATTCTGCCTATTATTGGCAGCCAGCTATTGGGTCTCTTCTGTTTGCAGTACAAAATATCCGCAAATTTACATGAAAACGGCCGTAGAAGCATGAAATAATCGATTATGGCCACTATCGATGGGAGTTAAGAAATACAAAGTCAGTCTTGGCCTTTCTATTACCTTGGAGCATATGCATGTAAAGTTTGGTGCAAATCCGTCGAGAATTGCGGCCGTGCATTCGTTACACACACACACACATCCTGCCTTTTATAGATAGAGATTGACATGGCAGTTTCTGCAGACTGCAATGTATCTTTGAAGATCTTCAAAAAAACTATCAAAATAGAAGGACTTTGAAATTGAAATCTCAAAAATGTGGCCCATGAGTACATCAAAAATTCCAGTTGTATTTGGAGACAACGAATTGATTATACGTTGTTTTATTCAGAGTACTTACTGCCCGGGGGAAAATTATAATTCGGGCTTTTTTCATTGTAAGCACATGATTTACTCATACACGTCTTACTAATTAACTCATAACTGGAGGGAAAACGAGGTGGATTCATAACTTAACAGAATTTGACAAACAATCAAAAAATTATAATTGGGGGATCGGTTTTGTATTAGAATCTATATATAAACTGATCCCATACTTTATGACCACGATAATTTCTATATATTTATATCCCAGAGAATGTAAATAAACCTATAAGACATGTCTGCGACGATAATCAGTAATTCATTAATTGACTGATTCGTTTTCCAGGGACTATTTAGCCATTCCAGGTCATTTAAAGTTAGAATATTTTTGGATTGTAAGAATTTTTATGTGAGGGGGGGACATAATAATGGTTTAATGATACAAGTTTTACTAATTAATTACTGATGGTAGAAGAAATGGGGATTAATCTTACATTACAATCAATATATAAACTGTCTTCCAAAAGCTAAACAAAGTATTAAGAAACAGGAAGATTTCGTTAGAAACAAAGAAAAGAGTGATGAACTTCTATGTAATATCGGTCCTCCTATATGACAAAAAATTCTGGATAATCTCCTTCCAAATGAAGAAGATATCTGAGCTCAACGAAAATCGTTCTCTGCGCCTCACTTTTCTAGAACTTTTGAATGAGCTATAAACAAACTAAATATAGTAGAAAAGCAAATTTAAGATATAATAACTTGCGACAGAGGCAGCTTCGTTCCACAACTTAAATTGGTACGAACCTGAAAATTCGAGTCATGTATTTAGATAATCACGTCCGATCGAGACTTTCATATGGATGACATGGGGCACCTCGGCGTAGTGTAATGGTTAGCAAGCTTGTCACGTTAGATCAGTTACGAGTGGAAAGTGAGTTCGATCCTCACTAGGTGTCCCATACTTTCGGCCTTGTGCCACATCTAAGCTAAGCTTAGAAAATAAGGGCACATCGAGGTGGTGCAATGGTTAGCAAGCTTGTCTCGCTAGATCAATTACGACTGAGTAGTGAGTTCGATCCTCACTGGGTGCCGCCTAATTTCGGCCTTGTGCCACATCTAAGCTACGCTTGGAAAATCGCCAGTGTCAGCTGTGTACAATCGCTTTCTAAGATCAATGGCGAAAAAAGCCTTTGAGCGAGTAATCTATTTATTGAAGAAGATCTGAAGATCTTAGCAAAAACTATCCTCCTTCAAACCTAGTGGTTTGGCGCTACAGAATCACAAAGAACATTACCAAATAACAGAAACCACACCACTTGAGAACTACCAACAGCAGCAACAATTAAAATAGATATTACATGCAACTCGAAGATAAAATAGGGACATAATCAAAATCTGACATTCCACACTATGCCAAATGAAAGAGTTCGGAAGAACCCTTATGTATTTACATATGCATCAATACTGGAAAGAGCCATAACAGCTACTGGACTTGAGAAATCTGTTTTCCTATAAAATCTTTTAAGTGAAAGATTTTATAAATGTCAATCGACAAGCTGCTCAGTCAATGAATGCCAAATGTTTCCTTATAGGGAAACGGTTATTACTACCATTATCAATACTCATGGAATAGGTTATAATATATATATATATATATATATATATATATATATATATATATATAATGTAATTTTAATGCATTGAATTCAGAAAGAATCTGATTGGCAGTGGTCAATTAAGGCAAACTTTCTTCTTCCACTGCCTCCTTCTCTTCTTCGTCGTCTTCTTCTTCCTCTTCTTCTCCACCTCCTTCTCCTCCCCATTTTTCTTCTCACATCTCCTCAAAATCTCCATCTTCTTATTCATCGTCGTCGTCGTCTTCTTCTTCTTCTTCTTCTTCTTCTTCTTCTTCTTCTTCTTTCTTCTTCTTCTTCTTTTCCCTCCCCTTCTCTTCTTGATATTCTTCTGCTCTTCCTTCTCCTCCCCATTTTTCTCCTCACATTTCCTCAACCTTCTTCTTCTTCTTCTTCTTCTTCGTCGTCGTCGTCTTTTTCTTCTTGTTCCCCCTCCTCCTCATTTTCTTCTTATGCTACTCATTTTTCTTCTTCTTCTCCTCATCCTTTTGCTCCTCATGTTTCTTCTTCTCCTCTTCCTTATTTTTCTTTTCTTCTCCTTCTTCTTCTTCTTCTTCTTCTTCTTCTTCTTCTTCTTCAGTGCCATGTTCATTCAGGAAGTGAACGATAATAATCCTCCACAACTTCCTATCTTTAGTAGCCCCAGTATATTTTTTTATTTTATTCTTTGATCCATCTCCTAAATCCTGTTTTGCCAACAATTTTAATCAATCATTTTTGGTTTTGCACTTGCTCAGGATTTAAATTTTGGTACTTATTTAATTCTGGCATCTCCAATTTATAATTCGAATGTTGGGCTGTCTCTTTTACTGAAAATCATACATTTTTCCTTGCAATTGATGTTCAATCCTTTCTTCTGGTTTTCCTGTACTGTTTTTTTTGTGTCAGTTTTCCATATGTTCCTTCCTGTGTCTGCTATCAACACTATACCCCCTGCATATCTAAAGTTGTTACGACTGTGTCCGCCTATAATGAATTTTGTTTGGACTTGCAATTCTCTCTTACTATGAATACTGTAAAAGTGCTGGTCTTCTACATAAGTTTCACGGCTACGGGACCACAGGATGATTGATTGATTTAATCCAATCACTCTTATCGATCCGTGAGATAAAGGTCGTTCTGAATGGGCTCACTTCAAGATCCTTTCCAGGTGTCAATCAAGGCTTTATCCGGGGTTCTTTTTTCCTTTCTGATCTTCATCAATAATCTTCCAGATGTCATGAGTTCCCCACTACGTATTTATGCAGATGACACTCCATTTACTCCTATCTCAATAACAAATCCGTTAGAGCTGACAAAGTTAACCTGGCTGCTGCCCTTGAAAAGGACTTTCAATCAGTTGGTTAACTAGGACAGGAAATAGCTTGTAAATTTTAACGCCTCCAAAGCAAATCTGCTTTCATTTAACCAAAATAAAGAAACTTGTCTGTCTGACATGAACATGTCTGAGGCTAAACTCCTGGAGAGCAACGCGCTACGCCTTCTTGGCCTTACGTTTTCAACTGACTTGAAGTGGAAAAGTCTGCATCGAATCAATAGCTGCATCTACTGCAAGGAAAGTTGGGTCACTGTGTCGTGCCAAAAGTTTTTCTTGTCAGAGTCCATCTTTCACATTTACAAATCTATCATTCGTCCGTGCATTAAATACTGTCACCATATCTGGTGTGGTGCTCCTGCTATTCATCTCGAGGTTCTTGACAAAATCCAAAAAAGGATCTGCAATGTAATCGATCCTGATTTACCATATCAACTTCAGTCTCTTTCTCACCGACGTGACGTGGCTTCCCTCTGTCTTTTCTACAAATATTTTCATGGCAACTGCTCTTAAAAGCTTTTTCTTCCCTAGTTCCCCAACGACATGAATTTAAGCATGCTACTAGATTGGCATCTAGGTCCCACCCGTTGTTGTAATAGCTAAATGCTTCGGTTACTTCTACTCCAGCAGTTTCTTTTCTGGCACTTCCAGCCTGCAGAAATCCCTTCCGTTTATTTGCTTCCCTAATAGCTACAATCTTCAAAAATTTGAATTCGACATCAATCGCCATCTTCTATCTTCTTGAATCCCGTTCATATTTTGTCTTTTCCTCAATTCTCTCTATACTCAGTCTTTCATTTTCACTCCCTGTAACTCCCTGTAGTTATTTATGAATATGACACTACCATTTACATTTCTCACAATAGTAAACCTGGATGCTGCTCTTGAAAAGGTCCTCTAATCAGTGATTAACTGGGACAAGAAATGGCTTGTCAATTTTAAAGCTTCCAAAACAAAACTGCACTCATTTAACCAAAATAAAGAAAATTTTCTGTCTGACATAAGCATGGCTGAAGCTAGACTCCCGGAGAGCAGTACCCTACGCCTTCTTGGCCTCACGTTTTCAACCGACTTGAAGTGGACAACTACATTGAATCAACAGCTGCATCTATTGCAAGGAAAGTTGAGTTACTGTATCGTGCCAGAAGGTTTTTCCTTGTCAAATTCAGTCTTGCCCATTTACAAATCTAGCATTCGTCCGTGCATTGAATAATGTTGCCATATCTGGTGTGGTGATGCTGCTGTACATCTAGATGTTTTTTGCAAAATCCAAAGAAGGATTTGCAATCTAATCGATCTTGACTTGGCATCTCGACTTCAGTGACTTTCTCACAGATCTGACGAGGTTTGCCTCCGTCATTTCTACAAATATTTTCATGGCAACTCCTCTGACGAGCTTTTTACCCCGGTCCCTCTACTACATGAATCTAAACGTACTACTAGATTGGCATCTCGGTCCCACCCGTTTACTGTTGAAATAAATGAATGCAACCGTCACTTCTACTCTAACATTATCTTTTCTCGTACTGCCCACCTGTGGAACCTCCTTCCGTTTACTTGCTTTCCTGATAACTACAGTCTTCAAACATTTAAATGCAACGTCAGTCGCCATCTTCTGCCTTTTTAAAATACCGTTCATCCTTTATCCTTTCTTCAGTCCTCCCTATACTCAGTCTTTTCTCTTGCTTTCACATCCTGTAACTCCCTGCGTACTAGGGGCATTGCCGCCATGCTTGGAGTAAAATGATTAAAAAAAAATGCATTGCTAAAATGGACCGAAAATGAAGAAGAAACGATTGTCACTGTTTAAATTTGTTTAATACTCCAGATCTTAATGGGTTTCGGGCATCGTTAGTTTAGTTGATAGTATAACTATTCATACGTAATTTATAAACAAAAACTCTGCATACCTGATAAGGACAACTTCTGTTCGATTGTACAAGTCAGAGTAAGGACTTTTGTCAAAGACAGATTTCATCTGAAAAAGAAAAAAAACAACAATTTTATGAAGAAATACATTTATCAAGTTCTTTGTTTCTGTCTCTCTCTCTCTTTCTCTCTCTCTCTCTTTCTCTCTCTTTCTCTCGCTCTTTCTCTCTCTCTTTCTCTCTCTCTTTTATAATCTCTCTCTCTCTCTATTTTCTCTAAATCTTCTCTCTCTCTCTCTTTCTCATCCGTCTATAATTCTTCACTTATTCTTTTTCTTGGCTTGTTATTAATTTTATCCTCATTCCTCAGAATTATTCTCTAAACTAAGTTCATGATTTTTTTTAAATGAACCTCAGTTCTTTTTCTCTCTCCTTTTTAACTTGCATCTTTTTGTCTTTTTTTCCCCTTTTTTTCTGTTTTTCTTCTTTTAATACATTGCTTTTTCCTTCTTTTCATCTTTTTCATCTTTCATAATATTTTCTTCTTCTAATTCTTCTTCTTCTTCTTCTTCTTCTTCTTCTTCTCCCAATTTTAATATCATTCTCATTTTCTTCCTTGTTTTTCTTTTTTATTTTCTTACTTATTTCTTTCTTTCTCTTTTTTCCTTCTTTTTGACCCTCATTCTTTTTGTCTTTTGCCTTTTCTTTCTCTTTTTCACTTTCCATCTTTTGATCTTGCAGTTTGAATCGTCCTTGCTTTCATTTTTCTTATAATTCCTTCGTAACATTTTTCGTATCTTCATTTTTCTTTTTTTCCGCATCTTCTTCATCCTCTATATCACTTCTAAACGTTGGGCGATCATGGCTCTCTACAATATCCTGTCCTTTGAAGCACTTAGTAATATTTGCTTTGCTTTTTGTTATATCTCCTAAGCCCTGTTCTGACCCTCACATCATTTACGCAAACTCATTCTCCTCCTCTTTCTTTTCCATTCTCCTCCCCGTCTGATTGTTCTTCTCATTATCTTCGTTCTTTCTTACTTTCTGTTGCCTTTCTTCTTTCTTTTCTTTTCAACTCCTTTTCTTCCTTCTTTATTACCTCCTCCCCTTTCTTTTTCTCTTCCTCCTCCCTCTTCATCTATTGTCCTTCTTTCTTTTTTTTATCAATTTTTGAAAAAAAAGAGAAATTACCTCCTCCCTTTTTCTTTTTCCTCCTCCTCCTTTCCTTCATCCATTGCCCTACCTCTTCATCCATTGTCCTTCTTTCTTTTCGTTTTATCTCCTCTTCTTCCTTCTTTATTACATCCTCCCCTTTTTTTTCTTCTCCTCCTCCTTCTTCATCCTTTGTCCTTCTTCCAATATTATTGTCGTTCTCATTTTCTACCTTCTTTTTTATATTACGGGTTTTTTTCTTACTTACTATAATTATTTCTCCTTTTCTTCCTCCTTTTCGTTTTTCTCTTTCTTTTTTTGCCTCTTCCTTCTCCTCCTCTCCATTCTTCTTCTTGACCTCTCCTCCACTCTTAGCCGTCCCGATCGCCCCATCTTAAATTCTCTTCATTCTCTCACCCTTTTTTTTTACTTTTCTCTTTACCCTCACTCCTTAGTCAGGTTTTTGCCATGCGTGATATACGCTTAGGCGATCATGTATCTTTCAATACATGACTGACAATGTAGTCCCCCCCCCCACACACACACAGTAGGTTGTCATTTCTTTCTGCGGTAGACCAGTTGTCATCCAAGGCTATAGATCCCGGTCTATCCTGCTATTTACCCATAGCTGGGGAGTGAAGAAGAAGATTCATACCGTTCCCAAGGTTATTAGCACGTAAATGAATGTAATGGACTCGACTAGAATTAGATCTCAGCTGTACGATTCCTCAATCCGAACCGCTACCCATTACTCCACCAGGCCTCCTCGTTCCTCATTCAGTTCAGTTATGTGTCATGCGTGATATATGTATCTTTAGATACATGACAGACGAGGCAATTTTTTTTTCCTGCAGTAGGTTGTTATTTTTTCTGCAGTAGACCAGTTGCCATCCAAAGCTATAGAACCCGGTTTGTCCTGAACCCGGGAGAAGAGGATTCATACCTTTCCCAATGGTATTAGCACATAAGTGAATGTAATGGATTCGACTAGAATTCGAACTCGGCTCTCCGATTCCGCAATCCAAACCGCTTTCCCTTACATCACCGCGCCTCCTCTTTACCGTCCCTTTAATATGTTTCTCTCTTAACTTCCCTTCATATAAATCTCTCCTCCTTTCTCTCCCTTCCCAATCTCTCCTATTTACTCTCCCCACGACATTTTGTGACCTAATCTTTCCTTCTCTATTTCTCCTTACCACCCTTTCTTCTTTTTATCTCCCCCTCCACATCTCTCTTTTTCCTTAACGTCTCCTCTCTATCATTCCTTTCTCTCTCTCTCTCTCTCTCTCTCTCTCTCTCTCTCTCTCTCTCTCTCTCTCTCTTATTAACTCATTTTTAGACACATCTTTTCTTTTCCTTTTCATCATCCCTGTATTTGTTTAGTCTTCCCATAATTCTCTTTATTTCTCTTTCTCATTAGAAGAACTGCCCTGTTACTCGTTCTCTTAATACCCTCTCCATTTTTGGTCGTATTCAATTCATTATATTTCAAATTCTATTTTTCTTAAGAGAATGAAAATATTATTGCTAAATCGGACCAAATCTATAAAAGTCTTTCTATTCAATGGAAGACGCGCGCATCCTTAAATAAAAAAGTTCCTTTCGATTCTTAATCGAAAATTATACGCTTCTGGTGAATATATAAATTCTCTGAAATGATTGCATATTCTGAGATTTCAAACAAATATTTTCAAATCGCCATTTTGTTAAACTGTGTCACTTCAAAGACGTTTCTTCCCTAATTAACACTTAAAAAAACGAGCTTTCTATCGGAATGCGGTTGTGCAATGTCCCTTCAATCATGGCTCTCCACAATTTCCTGTTATTCGTAGCTCTTAATAAATTTTCTCTTTTTGTTATTTCTCCTAAACCTTGTTCCGCCATCAATTTATTCAAGCTCATTCTTCTTCTTCTATATGCCTTCTCCCTTCAGGACGTAGGCGATCATGGCTCTCCACAATTTCTTGCACTTTATAGCTCTTAATAATTTTTGTCTTTTTGTTATTTCTCTTAAACCTTTATCCGCCATACATTTACTCAACTAAGTAGGTTATGCATTGTTTACCTATGTCCTTCTTGCTTCCAATCTGTCCTGTGAGCATCAGATTTTTCAAACCCTCTTTCCTCATTATGTTCCCCAAGTATTTCAACTGTCTCTTCCCGATGTTAAGTTTCTCTTTGGATTCCATTTTCTCTAAATCTTCGATATTTCTCAGTCTATAGTATACTAACATTCTAATTTAGAACAACTTTAAATTACGTTTTTACATCTTTTAAATTATATTTTTACAACTTTTAAATTATTTTCTTACACCTTTAAATTACGTTTTTACATCTTTTAAATTGTATTTTTACAACTTTTAAATTATTTTCTTACACCTTTAAATTACGTTTTTACATCTTTTAAATTGTATTTTTACAGCTTTAGATTAAGTTTTTGGATCATTTAAATTGTCTTTACATCTTTTTAAATTGTGTTTATACGTCTTTGAATTATGTTTTTGGATCTTTTAAATTATATTTTTACAACTTTTAAATTGTGTTCTTACACCTTTAGATTATATTTTTACATCTTTTAAATTACATTTTTACAACTTTTAAATTGTGTTCTTAGACTTTTAACTTGTGTTTTTACACTTTTAAATTAAATTGTTTTCGGATCATTTAAATTGCTTTTACATCTTTGAAACTGTGTTTTTACGCCTTTAAATTATGATGTTGGATCTTTTAAATTATATTTTTACACCTTTAAATCATGTTTTACTTCTTTAAAATTGTGTTTTTACTGTATTTTAAATTGTGTTTTTACATCATTTAAAACTTATTTTGATACATTTTTAAAATAATGCTATGACATCTTTTATAAATTACGTTTTTATATCATTTAAAAAATGTTATTGCATCTTTCAAAATTACTTTATCACGGACTTTCAGAATTCTGTTGTTGCATATTAAACAGAAAAACACATTTTTCGCAAAACCTAATTGATATAAATTCATAGCGCCATTACTCTGACATTTCGTCGAATTCCTATCGACTTACGCCACATTTCAATCAAATTCATCTTTCACCATGAAAGAATATTTCGATATTTTGAAGAATCTTTACGTCTTCTTGAACTCTATGAACCAATTGTCTAAGCTACTGAGCATTTGCAACTGACAACTTCATCTGTAGTGCTGCGCAGGAGAATATGATTCTATTGTGATGTACAAAACAATCCGAAAGCAAATAAAATGCTTTAATCGACAAATGAATTGCCTTAACTATTTTCGCTTGGTCTGAATTAATATTAATTATTTCCCAGTCACTTCGAATGCAAAGCATATTGAGATTATTTTCTAATAAGGGTTGTAGTTTATAATTTGAAACTTTATAAAAATAAAGAATTTCGTTAACCCTAGAACACAAACCATGGGTATATAGTACCCAGCGCAAATTTTCCTATTTTTAATTAGAATTTTCAGTACCTGTTTTTCTTATCTAAATAATATGTTTTTCAGTTCCTATTATTGTTAACTCAAAGTACTGTCATACCTGAACGTACCTATTCTATTATTAATAGACTCTCCCACACATAATATGTAGTAATAGTAGTAGCGGTCGCCAGTTGAGCTCAGTGGAGTTGAGCGAGTCAGTCGATGTCGGACATTGAAGTATCAACGACCACAACTAGATTGCTGCGTCATTAACTATTATTATTGCAAGTTCCTAACGTTTTGTACGTCGAACCTAATTTAGTGAAAACTACTCTACAACAAATACAAAGTTTGAATTGCCTGCATGCAAAATATTTCAAATAAAAATTTATATTTAAGTTATTTTTTGTTGATATTTTCAAAATCGTGTATGGTATACCGATGGTTAGTAGTGGTGTAAATTTAATTGATGGTTAGTGTTCTAGGGTTAATGTAACTTTGCATTGGTAATTTGTTTTCTTTCGTTTCGTCCGTAGAAAATAACGCATTGTATAGAGCAAATACAGATGACTTAACAGCGAAATTTTCGAATTTATTAATTAAGAATTCTCTTTATTTTCCTCTGCACAAAAAAAGTAAAAGAATTTTCAAGATTTTCGATTATTACTTCACATTTTGGTAAAATCATAAATCTGTATCTTTCCTTAAGGCAAATCCATTTTCTAGCTCGAAGCTATATTTCTCATTTACTCGACCAGCTATGACGGTTTCAATAGTAACAATGAAGCTGAAAAAGTAGAAACAATTAAAAAGGTGTTTTAAATCGTTAGTAAAAAATAAAAGACTTAAGAATTGAGTAAAAGTATAGAAGGCGAAACTAGAGAAAGTGAAAGTAGAGAAGTCGAAAATAAAGAAAGTGAGAGTAGACAAAATTAAAAGAAGAAAAATTAATGCAGAGTGATTAAGAGTAGGGAAAATTAGAGAAAGTGAAAGTAAAGAGAATAAAAGAAGTAAGAGTGAAAGATGTAAAAACGAAAGTAGACTGAATGAAAGTAGAGAAAGTGAAAGTAAATCAAATAAGAGTGGCGAAGAGGAAAAACAGAGAAAACTAAAGTAGAGTAAACGAAAGTGGAGAAAATTAATGAAGAGAAAGTGAAAGTATAGAAAGTGATAGAGGAAATATGAAAGCGAAAGTAGAGAAAAATAAAAGACGAGAAAGTGAAAGTAGAGAAATTGATAGAAGAATAAAATGAAAGTGAAAGTAGAGAAAAGGTAACTATAGAGAGTGAAAGTAGGACAAGCGAAAGAAGAGAAAATAAAAGTAGAGCGTCGGCATGGAGATAGTGAAAGTAGAGAAAGTGCAGAAAATCAAAGCAAAGTGAAAGGAAAGAAGATGAAAGCTGAGAGACTGAAAGGAAAGAAATTGAAAAGGAAGAAATTAAAATTTAAAACAGTCAAAGAAGTAAGAGCGAAAGATGACATAATGAAACTAGAGGAACTGAATGCAGAAACATTAAAGTAGAGAAATTTAAAGTAGAGAAATTAAAATCTGTTTCTACTTTCTATTCTTTCATGTGAAATAAAGAAAATGAAATTTGAGTAAGTGAAAGTAAAGCAAATAAAATTTGAGAAACTGAAAGTAGAGAAAATGAAATTTGAGAAAGTGAATGTAGAGAAAATGAAATTTGAGAAAGTGAAAGTAGAGAAAATGAAATTTGAGAAAGTGAAAGTCAAGAAAATGAAATTTGACAATGTGAATATCAAGAAAATGAAATTGGAGGAAGTGAAAGTACAGAAAATGAAATTTAAGAAAGTGAATGTAGAGAAAATGAAATTGTAGAAAGTGAAAGTAGAGAAAATGAAATTTGAGGAAGTGAAAGTCAAGAAAATGAAATTTGAGAAAGTAAAAGTACAGAAAATGAAATTTAAGGAAGTGAAAGAGAGAAAATGAAATTTAAGAAAGTGAAAGTAGAGAAAATGCAAACAGAGAGAGTGAAAGTAGATAAATGTAAGTCAAGAAAAGGAAAGCATACAAAATGAAAGTTGACAAAGTGAAAATTCAGAAAGTCAAAGTAAAAAAAAATGCAAGAAGCTAAATTGAAAGTGGACTAAACGAAAGTAGAGAAATGTTGAGAAAGTGAAAGTGAAAGTATAAAAACGATTCAAGAAAATTAAAGTAGATAAAACAAAAGCATACACAATTAAATTAGAGATAATGAAACTAAATAAAATGAAAATAATGAAAGTGAAAGTAGAGAAACTTAAATTAGAGAAATTGAAATTTAACCAACTGAGAAAATGATAATATAGGAAATAAAAGTCAAGAAAGTGAAATTTAAGCAAGTTATGGTAGCGAAAATGCAAGTTGAGAAAGTGAAAATAGAGAAAATGAAACTAGATGTATAAGTAGCGAAAGAGAAAGTAGAGAACATGGAAACAATGAAATTGAATGTGGAGAAAATGATAGCAGTATAAATGAAAGCTGAGAAAATTCAAAAATTGAAAATGTATAAAATGTAAGTGAACTTAATAATGTTATTAGTCGCCTTTAACGCTCATAATTTTGTACCAACACTCGACCGGAAATGCAATAGCCACTGGTAAAACGTTTTTTGCCAAAAGCCCGATAAAGGAGTTTAAAATTTGAAGTGGGATACCTGTTGGAAATTGTCTCTCATCACGAACATCACAAAGCCGTTACAATATACAGAGTATCCATAAAGTTCGTGTGTACTTTAAAAAATTTATAACTTTATTTGTGATAGAAATAATCTGTAAAAAATGTTATAAAGTTTAATGTACCTAGTTTTAAGTATAGCTAAAATAACTAATGTGATTTGAGGCATTACTGTAAATCAGTTGGCAAATGTTTTCCGTGAACTGCCAAATCCTATTACCCTTTGTAATTGCTAATGATGGAGGACATGTGGAAACTAAATGGAATTTCAATAAAACCTTAAAAAATATAGATTTACTTCTTTCTAATCCTTTTTAAAAATTATTTCTATTGCAAATACAAATAAAGTTATAAGTTTTTTAAAGTGCACACAATCTTTATGGACACGCTGTATATCATTACAAAATTTTACACAATACTTTATAAATATAGTGAAACACATTGATTGACGCACTAGTTAGGGTTATCAAACTAATACTACTAATGGTACTAATACTACTTGTACTCTTTACCTAACCAATACCTAGATTTGTGAGCACTTGGTAATCTCAGATGCTCTATGTTTGGATAACAGATACCTTTGGGAAATACCCTTGGGAAAGGCATGAATCCACCTCTTCTCCCCCATCAATGGGATAATTAGTAGGACTTGTATCAGTAAATCATTATTATCTCCAAATAAATTCTAACAATCTGTTCTGGTGTTAAATAACCTGCAAAAAATTAAGTCGTAAAAAAACAATCATTCAAAGTCACCTACCTCTACGCCTACAAAAGGTCAACCCTGACACGCTAATAGTCACCGGCGAAGGACACTGTTGCGTGTGTTAGTAAAAGGAACAACAGAAAATCAGCTAAAATCTATACACGTCCGGCCTTGCATCGCCCGGCTGACCAACCAGAACGCCTCGCTTGACCGACTAGAACAAAATATTTTATGATACCACAGTGTATAGAATATTGCTACTTACATAATTCTCCTTCTCTTTATAAGCTTACAAATGTTAGGAATGAGATGCTCGGACCTTTTACAATGACCAGAATAAGATGTCGGGACCTTTTACAATGACCATAATAAGATGTCGGGACCTTTTACAATGACCAGAATAAGATGTTGGGACCTTTTCAATGACCAGAATAAGATGTCCGGACCTTTTACAATGACCAGAATCAGATGTCCGGACCTTTTGCAATGACCAGAATAAGATGTCCGGACCTTTTACAATGACCAGAACAAGATGTCCGTACCTTTAACAATGACCAGAACAAGATGTCCGGAACTTTTACTATGACCAGAATATGATGTTCGGACCTTTTACAATGACCAGAATTTTGTGACCGGAAATTTACTTTTTGTAAAGTAATAATAGTTTTCGTATTTCCGGTTGTTGATAAATTTGCGGGTATGGTAAGGTGTTTGATCCTCATGTGTTATAAAGAATAAGATATTAATAAAAGGAAAAAAATCATTATGAAAATAAAACAGACAAAATAAATAAAGCCTAATAGGAATAATGCGACTTCTTTTATGATGATTTAAATAGAGAAAATATCATGAAAATAATAGCTGTTAATAAATTAAATTAGGATGAAGAATAAATAAAATAAAAAAATAAATAAAAAAGTTATTTTTAAAAATTAATCTTTTTGCAAATTTCAAATCAAAATGGTAATGAAAAATAATGAAATATCAAAAGATTATTTAAAACTCAAAATCGATAAAAAAAACTCTTATAAATAAAATATTTCAACCTTCGAATGGAAAAATAGAATCTTATACTAAAAATAAATTAAAAAAAAATCTTACAAATAAAATATTTCAACCTTCTAATGGAAAAATAGAATCTTATACAAAAAATAAATAAATTATAAGTGGGGCAGATTTTGACGAAATTATCCTTTAACGTGGAAACCGAATAACAAATTTAGTTCAACAGTTTATCAAGAAGAATGAAAAAGATAGATTTTCGTGTCGAAAATGGTAACTGAAACGAAAAAGTTGATTTTTTTTTCAGCGGACTAAAAATCAGATATAATTAAGGGAAAACTAAAATATGAAAAAAGAAATTGTTACTAATATTATTTACATCAGGACTAATGTCCTTAAATTTGTTTTGCTATTAACACGACGTTTCGGCCGTTCTACTCTTCAGGTATGTGTCAATCCGAGTAACTTTGAGTAAAGTCCGAATTGAACCCATTATTCAATTTTTTTTTCAAGCGTTTCACCCTAAGCGAGGCGGGAATCCACTAGCACGCAAAGGATTATAGAGAGTTGGGGCAAGAGCAAATAGGTGTGATAAAGGAAAGGATGAAGAGAAGGATAGGGGATAGATCAGGGTATCTGGAGACATCGATTGACATTACATTTCAATAGTTGGAGATTATAGCTATCAGGGAAACAGGAAGAGGAGAGGGAGTTCCACAGATGGGAATTGCGAGACATGAAGCTATTGGAGTAGAAGAGACGGCTACATTACACAGTTTCGACTGTGAAAGTGTGTGAGCGAAATGCCAGCCTAGTAGAACGCTTAAATTTATGAAGTTTCGGAACCAGCAAAAGCAGCTCCTCGGAGCAGTTACCATGAAACTCATGTTCTCATTCTGCTTTAGGGAAGGTCCATTTTGAAACCGTTATATTGTACTTAATTTCAAAGTTGGGGTTTGACATAATTAATAAGGACACAAAATATTAATCCAAATCTTGACCGTTTTTGAGGAAACTAGTTTAAAGATTAAATTTAGGTTCAAAATCGTAACGTTGGAATTTCATTTTGGTGATCAATAAAAGCTTTATAAAATTTCTAATTTACTAAAGCTTTACAAATTGTATATAGACAAAATGCATAGCATAAACACATTATTGTTAAATCACTGTGCTATAAAACAAGACCTTTTATTTACTATAAATAAAAATTATACTGAAAAATTTAGCTATATTATAATGTAATATGTTACACGGTGCAAATTTAAAACATTTTGTCTCATAATTTGTACCCAGAAGTATTACGTTGTTATATAAACCATTATACGTTTTTGTTTTTATTAATTATTATCTAATAAATGATCTAATAAAACTTATTCGTTGAGGAACCTTTTTTTTTTGTAATCTATTAAATTTTTTTTTTAATTCTTACTTATTGAAGACAGTAAAAAAAAATGCATATTTTACTTGTGGTGATTGATAAAATTCCGGTTTCAATATATTTTCCATTCAATCTATTTAATGCAAAAGGTATCAACTTTATATGGATTTATTGTTGAAATAGTAAAATTTTGAAGTCAGTTTGTAAGCAAAAACCCGCGGAAATTAGTTATTTCTGTACATTTTGTTTCAGACAATTTAAAAATTGAATGTTCAGAAATTGATAAGTTATAAATCTAATACAGTGTAACCCGGATATAAGGGACCCGGATATAAGAGAAACCCGGATATAAGAGAGATTTTCTCTGGTCCCAAATTACAGCCATACTTACCTAAACAAAATAGACCAAACCCGGATATAAGAGAAAGCCGGATATAAGAGACTTCTTCTCCGGTCCCGACAACTCTCTTATATCCGGGTTACACTGTAGTTAATTTTAGTACTTATCGCATGAAACCCCAGGTTTCGCACTGAGTGCAATGTCGATTTTATTTTTATTTATTTTTACTTATCGAATATAATAAAAAAAAAGACACTGCATATATTTATTATATTTTTTCAATTCATTCAAAATATCTAATACAA